TGAAATATCCAGGACTGCTAGATGCTTGGCAACCTCAATCGCACCCATGGCCAGGAACAGGGAATAATACATCAAACTGAGTTATTTGCTGGGATTCCTGTGGTACGTGGGTTGTGTGACATCTTCTGATATGAGGGCATCTGGGGGTAGAAGCGGAGCAGACCTTGACAGCCAGATAAATTTCTTACTACATTGAGGTTGGGTGGATGCTGGACTTGCAGGACTATCGTAAAAGACAGAGTGCTCTTAAGAAAGCTGTGCTATCCCCGTTAGCTTCCCAGGGAGTCCCCAGGGACCCCAGGCACCTGATGTTTTTTGGTACATCGTGTCCTCTCCCGAACTAAATGGCATTATCAGCCAGGAACGCCCATTCCCTGCAGCTCCCCTCCTGTTGATCTGAACACAGCGGCGGCTGGCCAGCTGCTGGCAAACAGGGCTGTCTGCTGTGGCTCTGGGGACAAAAGGTGTGGGTGAGGAACGCTGGCGGCCTTTTTGTATTATTATTATTATTTCCTATCTGTGCACAGTTTTGTTTACAAAAAGAATTGCTGCTCTTTAATTAAGAAATAGAATGACAGAAATAAATTACTTTAAAAGGATGTTCTTTTTAGGGAATGAGGGGAAGTAATTGTGGCCAGCTAATATGAAAATGTCATGCAATCTACGGTTAAATTGTTTTTTTCTTTCCTGGCTGTAGTTTTTACAAAATTGGTGAGTCAAGCAATTGTCAGTAATATTTTTGTTGTCTTAAATTTTTTTCTTACCCTATATGAACTACATGCATCTGTCTAGATTACATCTGAATGACAAAAATACACAGATAGCAGGAGGAGGAAGAGTAATGGCTTTATTTAGAATTAACTGTCAGTAAGTGTTTATTAAGTGCATCTGTCATGTCTTATTCTGGATTTGTGTTGCTAGTCTCTTAGCTGGGAATTCATTTTTTGATACCTGATGACGCTGAATATTTTAATGTTATTATTCTCATTCAGCAGTCTGTGTAAGCAGTGTGGGACTTAAGTTCAGGAATATCAGAAGTACTTACTGCCTTCTTTTTTAGTCATTTAGCAAAAGCACATCTATGGACTATTTCTAATACATTTTTAGATGAAATGTTTTATATATGGTCAAGAATATTCAATTTCTTTCAAAAAAAAGTGCCATTTATACATGGGACTGTGCTTGTAAAACAGTTCATGAAATTAATATATCAGATGGAAAACTTGGGCTAAGAAGGGCTTTGGGAGAAAATATGTACAAATATGGATAAATCAAGAAGGCTCACGTCAGATAATTCAAGATAATGGTATCTTGTGTGCGTGTGTGAACAAGTAAAGTGGATTCAAGAAGATTTCAGGAAAATTATTTCCTTTTGCAACCTACATTTAAATGTCTAAATGAGTTCTTATAGCACTGGGACTTGGTAAATGGCCCTACTTTCAGGTGTCAGACAGAGAAGAATACCTGATCTTTATTGCTGCTTGTCTGTTTGCTAATAATGATGAGCATTGCCTACCATGTAAGAGAGAGATGGCAGCATTTGGATGAATTGAGGGCTCCCATTGAAATGCCTTGGGAATATGCAGGACTCATGCTCTTTCACATGTTCTGAAGCAATGGTGTCTAAGAAAGAGAGAAATTAAGATCTTCCCCTTGTACATCACACTGACTATGTATGTATTGTGTTGTTTTACAGTGAGACATTACTTTTGGTTAACAAGCAGTTCTAAGGCCAAAGGCAGAGTATTCATTATTTAAATACAAAAGGAAAAAATATAAAAAATACAGTGGGGCACCCCACAAAGCAGCAGGCTGTGTTGTTTTGACCTTAGTGAGTGTTCCTGTCTTCTTTTCTGTGCATATGTGTGGCAAGCAAGTAATTTTATGGATCAGTCTTGGTCGTTCTGATAATTCAGTTTCCCCTAATGTAGGGGAATTAAACTTAGGGGAATAAAAGCTTTAGTAGATCATTGCTCTTACTGAAAGTTTAACCATTTGTATTTTCTTTGTTGGAGAATTAAGGAACAATTTTTAGCTCCTCACAAGCTGGTCAAGCATATCTGAGAACCAGGCTGTGTGGCAAGATGTGATACATGATCCGTCCTGGATCACCATTTTTGTTCTCTGTTAGTATACTGTAATAGAGTATATGACTGATGTGAGCAACTATTTGTTTAGAAAGGGAAATGAATGGAAGGCATAGCTCCAAATGCTTGATTAACCTAGACCTTTAAGTGGCTTTGTTTTGGAGGCAGGAAATCAGGCAGCAGGCTCTGGAAGGACGTGGTTGGAGGCTGCTGGAACTGGGGACCTGCTCCTGTGTCTTGGGCCTGGACTATTTGATTTACAGAGTGTTTCCATGTGGTTTAGTTTTGGTGTGTGAATTCTAGAAGCCATGTGAAGATTGTGCTGGTGTGTTGTAGCAGGGACAGAGCGTTGGTGAAGCTTGCCCAAGGGCCGAGCCAGGAACGGCAGGCTGGCCTGGCTCTGGGGCATCCCTGCCTGCAGTACCAACATGTTCTTCATGTGAGTCTCTTTGGAGGTGTGGTTGCACCCTAAAAGGGGTGAATGAGAACCAAAAATGCAACAAAACCAGTTTCAGAGAAGCTTTATGCTATAAGCTGGGGCCCTTATGAGATGGCTGGGGCTCAGCAGTCAGATCAATTTTGTTTTTTTTCCCCCTCCTCCATGTATCTTCAGATTTTTCAGACATTTTGATTAGCAAGTAAAAATGTTCTCACTTCCTTGCAACCTAACGAGCAGGTGTCTTTTCAACATTAGGGATTGTTTGAAGACAACCATCAGACAGGTGGTATCTCTCAAGAAGCAGCTAAATTAATACATTCAGGTTTTTGTCAAATCCTGCTACTTGGTAGCAGTCATGTTGATCCATCAGAAGGTATTCAAACACAAATTTTAGATGGACTGCCAAATACCCAAGAGTCTACCTTATCCCCTTGGCACAGGGATGCACATGCTGCAGAGCTTCCCCGTACTAGTCTGGCCCTCTTAGGCAAAGATTGATGGGGAAGAGATGCATGATGGATTATCTCACGTTCTGCAGTGCCCTGTGCTCCAGGCAAAAATGTGTAGTCAGCTACATGTCATTAGATGGATAATCAAACTGAATAGCTAGAATTGGGGTGGCCCCCAAGGCAGGACCTGGTCCTGTACAACCCTGCACTCATCCATGTCCTGAGCAAATGTGGTTACAGCCCATTTTTACTTCCTATGGCAGTACAAAATGTTGCTAACTTTTGTCTTCCCTTCTTCCGTCCTGTTTCTGCAGGTCTTGATGATTGCCTGCAGCAAATGTGTTGCATGCACTTCTAGGATTGTTTTGGCACAACAGGCCTGTTTCTGCTCCCTGATTCTCTGTTCTGGAGAGCGCACACAGGTCTTTATTTTAGTGGCTTTTCATGCTCAGTAGGCATTTGTGTGCTGTGAGTGACTCCGTACAGTTTCTAAACTGAGGTACGTTGAGCTGGATCTGCTGCTGCATTTGGGGTCCAGTTTACGCATTTGCAGTGCTACCACATTTCCTGTTCTCCAGAGCTCTTTGCAGCTTGCTTTAGGGGCTGGCATGATCTGTGAACTTTCAGGTGGCTCAGCAGCATATGAACGGTCTTAGAGTAGGAGAGACGCTACGATGTGGCACTGCTGTTTTGTGTGTCACTGCATGGGGCGCTGTAGTCAAGTGTCCCATGAAGAGATGGGGTCCTAGCTGAGGGCATCTCCAGCAGCACCTCCTCGTCATGCGACCTACTGTGGCAGAGGTACTCTGGTAGTGAGGTTAAGAGGCACTGATAGCTAGTCCCTCCTGGATGTATAGCGTTAAGCATATTCACACTCTCATTATTCCCTTAGAATTTGTCTCTGGCACAAATGCTTTCCCTTGTTTCCAGTCTCTTACAGTGCTGTAATAACTAACAGCACCTGTCGATATGCTGCACCCAGAGAAGGATGCAAGTCTTCCTCTCTTCCATTGTTCCCTCTTCTCCTCTCCCCTCCCAGATGTAATGGAGCCATTGCTAACATACCTGTTACTAGGGGCTGCCAGATAGGCATTCATAGCACAGTATACTACAAGAATTCAGGGCTCTGTTTGGGGTTTGGGGGAGGCTGGTATCGTCCACAGGTGGAAAAGCCATGGCTGCCATAGTTCTCCAAATCTTAAGATTTCTGGATAGCATTAAAATTTTTGTAGTGTTGAAATACTTCTCTTAAAGATAGGGCAAGTATCCTCTGTTGGCTTGATTTTTGGTTACAGCCCATTTTTACTTCCTATGGCAGTACAAAATGTTGCTAACTTTTGTCTTCCCTTCTTCCGTCCTGTTTCTGCAGGTCTTGATGATTGCCTGCAGCAAATGTGTTGCATGCACTTCTAGGATTGTTTTTGGCACAACAGGCCTGTTTCTGCTCCCTGATTCTCTGTTCTGGAGAGCGCACACAGGTCTTTATTTTAGTGGCTTTTCATGCTCAGTAGGCATTTGTGTGCTGTGAGTGACTCCGTACAGTTTCTAAACTGAGGTACGTTGAGCTGGATCTGCTGCTGCATTTGGGGTCCAGTTTACGCATTTGCAGTGCTACCACATTTCCTGTTCTCCAGAGCTCTTTGCAGCTTGCTTTAGGGGCTGGCATGATCTGTGAACTTTCAGGTGGCTCAGCAGCATATGAACGGTCTTAGAGTAGGAGAGACGCTACGATGTGGCACTGCTGTTTTGTGTGTCACTGCATGGGGCGCTGTAGTCAAGTGTCCCATGAAGAGATGGGGTCCTAGCTGAGGGCATCTCCAGCAGCACCTCCTCGTCATGCGACCTACTGTGGCAGAGGTACTCTGGTAGTGAGGTTAAGAGGCACTGATAGCTAGTCCCTCCTGGATGTATAGCGTTAAGCATATTCACACTCTCATTATTCCCTTAGAATTTGTCTCTGGCACAAATGCTTTCCCTTGTTTCCAGTCTCTTACAGTGCTGTAATAACTAACAGCACCTGTCGATATGCTGCACCCAGAGAAGGATGCAAGTCTTCCTCTCTTCCATTGTTCCCTCTTCTCCTCTCCCCTCCCAGATGTAATGGAGCCATTGCTAACATACCTGTTACTAGGGGCTGCCAGATAGGCATTCATAGCACAGTATACTACAAGAATTCAGGGCTCTGTTTGGGGTTTGGGGGAGGCTGGTATCGTCCACAGGTGGAAAAGCCATGGCTGCCATAGTTCTCCAAATCTTAAGATTTCTGGATAGCATTAAAATTTTTGTAGTGTTGAAATACTTCTCTTAAAGATAGGGCAAGTATCCTCTGTTGGCTTGATTTTTGGTTACAGCCCATTTTTACTTCCTATGGCAGTACAAAATGTTGCTAACTTTTGTCTTCCCTTCTTCCGTCCTGTTTCTGCAGGTCTTGATGATTGCCTGCAGCAATATATAAAGAACTTTGAGAGAGAGAAGATTAGTGGTGACCAGCTACTACGCATTACTCATCAAGAACTGGAAGATCTTGGAGTCACACGAATTGGCCATCAGGAGCTTATCTTGGAAGCAGTAGACTTGCTCTGTGCACTGGTAAACTTCTTGGGGCAAAACCGGGGGGGGGGGGGGGGAGTGAACAGTGTTTGCATATTCACAGTTTGTGTATTCAAATTTCTAGTCCTAAAGACTACCTAAGTAGTTCAAGAAACTCCTGATATGTAATGTATGAACAATTTAGCATTTTAAACCAGAGGCAAGATAAAGAGCAGTATCTACTGATAGGATGGTGCTTGTTAAATAAATTGGTATCAGAGATTTAAGGCTTGCATATCTGTCTTTATAGAAGAAAAGTTTATCTGAAATCACAAGAGAACTAGACTGGGTTTGGTTTGGAATGTAAGACAATTATATATGTGCATGCAGTAACTGAGTGCTGGTTGCCCTTTACAAACAAAATGTCCTGATATTAACGATGTCATTTTTCACTGATCCTTTCATGCAAATTATATTTTAGATGATTATTTGAGCTTGCTGAAACATAGCTGCTTGTATTCACAGTAGAAAGGATTAAATACTGAAATAATTATCTTATGTGTAAATAATACATACATCTTTGATGGAGCATACAGAGGGATTTTGGTAATGGTCTTTTCAGTCAGGTCGCGTCATGCATAACTGAGATTATCCCCTCGGTGAGGGGTGTGGTGCTGACTTCACCCTTCTTACAAACTTTTTGTGTGTGCCTGTAAAGATTAGTGGTAGATTGGGCACACCGTCTGCATTCTCCACTGTAGGAAGGATTGTGAACAGCTCTGCTAAGCTGTACTTGACTGTCTAAAGTGGTGTTTTGTGGATTTTTAATGCATACTATTTTTCTGAGCCTCAGAAGCAGCTTTAAGAAAGCTGAATCCCAGTAGAGGCAATCAAAGATGGTAGGCTGAAAGGCTCTTCAGAAGGGCTTGTGGATTCTCAGTATGCAGCAGCTTTTCTGAATATCCTGTTGTTGCATCTTTGGGAGATAGATGTGAGGGGTAATGAAGAGAAGAGAGCGAAAAAAAAAAGGGCAAAAAAAGAAAGTAAAAAAGGGGAAAAAAGCTTTTCCATAACGGAAGACATTTGCTTTTAAACACATCTTAGATTCTCTTCTTTAGAGTAGTATTTCTAATAACGTTGCAAAGTGGCTCAGTGCAATAAGTTAACTCATCTATTTTTTTTTTAAATAATGGAAAGGATGCAATCCTGAAAAAAAATAATGCTACAGATATAGAAGGAAACATAGAGTTATTCACAAAGTACTTTTCTCATCAGACAGTGCAAAAGGAAACAAGAAAGTAAATACTTTAATTAACTGAGACAAAATCTAAGTTAGGGTGAACACTGATGACCATTCTTCCCAGGCACACAGGGAGACAGACTGTGGCTTTTTCAAAAATAACCTATTTTCACAGACAAAAACTTGTTTATTAGCTGAAATTTATTTTTTTCCCAGGTATTTAATTACAGATCTTATCTTTAGACAAACAAACTCAACTTGTCTTTGTAGCTCCCTTATCTTAGGCAAAAGTGTATGGAACTAAGTTGAATATAAAATAAGGAATTTGTAGTGAAGGCTAACACTGCATCCTTAATTCATGCAGGAAGTCTCTACCTTCCTGGTCCTTGTTGCACATAGAGTGTTGTCTGCTTTTCTGAGTTCGTCTTAAAGAAAACTTCTTCACTGAAACGCAATAGCATGCGTTCAGATCACAGCTTCTAATTTAAGCTGAGGTTTTTGCAGTCTTGCAATTGGCTCCTGATGGCTCCTCAGGGATACAAAATGTGATTGTTATATTGATTTTAGTGGACTTAATTTGAATTTATTGTTCACCTGTCAGATAAACCTCTTAGGAAATTGAATTCAGAGACAATCCTTTTGGCTCTACTGGTCCTATACTTACAGTCTTTCCTTGTTTTATTGCATCAGTAAGTATCTGTCCTGGTTAGTGCTTGCGCATTCTTCTAATTAGCTCTAATGTTGACTGTATTGTTTAGGAGAACTTTAAGCCTATGACTCTCCAACGTAAGATAACTGCTAGTGCAGGTAGTCACTGTGCAAGGTTTTTTTAATGAAAATGATCTGATTATTTTTGGTGTTTCACTGGAGTTTGACAGAGGTTTCATGACAGAATTTGGCATGAGTTACAAGTGTATGGCCCAACTGAGTTAAGCTCTATTTGGATGCTGGAGATGATGGGTGGCATGATGGGGTAGGAATAGTAATGTTAGTTTTGCCTTGCAAGCATAATCTCTGATTGATTTTAAACTGATTATTAAAAACCAAAAGGATTGCCCTGCTTCTCAGCATTTTTTTGGGGGTAAACAACTACTCGCAGTTTCTGCCCTGTCAGCTGTGGATATGGCAAATGGCAAACCAGCTGCTTGTGTAGCATGCCTGTAGTTCACAGGGCAACATTTTCTTCCTGGGGGAAAGCGGAGAGCCTGAACCAGCATATTTGGCTGGTATGGAGGGAGCACGGGACCTCCTTAACCCAGGTGGAGGCTATTGAACAGCACTAAATAGACAAACTGCTTGCTGCAATAATAGTTGGGAACCAGTTATGATTGATAGCACTATTTAAAGGATGTTCTTCATTGATTTTTGGCAGAAGGTGGGTGGGTGGCTATGGTCTCTCACAGTATTCCCCTCCTATCATAAGCACTTGCAACAAATGGATTCTCCAGTGTCCGTTAGCTGACCAAACGGTGGCCTGTGCTATCCATCTTAGGAGAGTCTCTCTTGGCTGCCAGCCTGCCATACTGTGCTCTTGACAGGAGGGTAAGAGTCCCGGGGGTGAGATTCACAGGTTTTCTTTTCCTGTAGTGCTTCAGAGAAGGAGGAATAAAGATTTTGCCCAGCTGCTACTGCTGTTACAGGTCACGCTCGCTGATAATGGTGGGGGCGTACATACCGCATACCATCACTGAAGCTGAACGTGCTCCAGGAGAGAGCGGGCAATGTAACTGATGTGGTTTGTCTCTTCCCTCTGTCCTTCAGCCCGTGAAGGTGGTAGCATGTTCAATAGATTATCTTGCCTCAGTGCAGTTTTGTGTTTTATAAAATCCGTATGTCAGAAAGGGCAAGATACATGAAATGTTCTCTGTGCTTAAAAGAAAGAAGTAGTGAGGTCTGTGATGGTATTTCTTTGCTGCTAAGAGTTTGTTGCATGGTTTTCGATCAGTCCTTGAGAAACCACCATGATGGATATATATGCCTGTAGACTTGTTCTATTTCCAGCAAGGCACATCTCTTGTCCTTCCCTTTCTGTTCAAACTGGGACATGGAGCTGAGATCACACTGGTGGCACCAACAGGTAGATTCCTGCTTGATGTGGACGCGCATGTTTATTCATACTGACAAAATCTCAAAAAATAATTGACATCTCAAAACTGGTTGAAAAATGGTAAACTAAGAAACTTCATGTCCGGCTCTAGAGATACAGGAGAAACTGTACTGAGTTAGGTACCATGGTATTTTTTCTCCAGGCTACTCCCATGTAATAAAACATACGCTTGTTCATCAGTTATAAAAATTGCCACCCAGATCTAGCCTCAGCGTGATCTTTGTCAGTATGTGTGTGGCGGTGAAGCTAGTCTAAGACTGCTTTACATTTCATCAGTAAACAAACAACAGTGTAGCAGACCTTCATCCACACATAAAATGTGACGAGTCTTGTTTCTTTGATGCTTGCTTTAAGAACTGGATGTGAATGAACAATGTCAACAGAAAGTAAATTGAGGAAAGATGGAGGTGATGCTTATGAAAAGAGAAATGCATACTGAAGAACAGATTACTTAGATAATGCCATCAGACCACTGTATCAGTCTTCAGGTTCGGAGTGCGTCCGGAGGTCTTGTAGCTCCTGAAATACCTAACTGTGCTGCAGAAAGCAAAGAAATGCACGTGATTCTTTTTCCATCATCTGTTTGTTAGGAGATGGCATTTCACTTATCAAAACCGGGTATGACCATATTTTGCTGAGTGTCCATGGACTGTAAATTTTATGTCTCCTTGGTATCATATTTTTCCCGGAAAACGCTACCCTTTGCCCTGCTGTCTGGAGAATACAAAGACTGAAGACTGCACAGCCAAAGATTTCTTCTTCCATCTTTAAGAAAATGATCTAGTTTGCCTGACATATCACCACAATGCCTTGATGCATGAGGATTTTTTGTTTGCTCTACTTCTCCAAAATATCATGTACATTTTGTTTGAATGAAGATTAAATTAGTTTCATTTGATTTTGAACATTTTCAAACATTTTTTAAAAGGAGACCTTAAAGCGGGAAATATTTTGTTCTGGGAAGATAAGAATATTTAGAAAACTTCACAAATAACTTTTGGATGCTTTAAAGTTTTCCTTAACCAAAGAACTTAGTAAAGTCCCTGTGAATTTGTAAAATGCTTCTGCAGGGAATCTGCATTTGTGTAGAATATAGATTGGTTAAAAAACAAAACACAACAGTTTTTGCTTTGTACAGCATACTGGTTTCAGTACTGGTTTCAAGCTAGTTATTTAAATCTGCTATGGCTGCACAGGAATTTATTATACACTGAATAATATATATTTGAATATATATTATAATAATATATATTAATATTATATATTATTAGTATATTTGAATCTGTAAAGCTAGAAGATGGCAGCAGATGAAATAGCATTATTATTTGGCAGAGAAAACATTGGTGTGCACTAACAGCATGAAATTACTTATCATTTACCACTAACAAAATATTTATATGCAAATTAATGTAAAAAATAGACCTACTTTACCCATGAATGATTCACTTCCTCTAAGAATTATACCTTTTCTCTTAATTTCATCATCTTGCCATTTCTCACACAGAAATCCTTTCCTTTGCCCTTCTCGCTAGCCAGATCTTAAAACTACTTTAGTCAGTACTAGTGAATATTAGACTTAATCACTGTAGTGCTAAATGAGGAAGACTTCATTTCAGAATGGAGATTTGTATGTATTGAAGTTGGGATTTATTGTTAATATTCTGCATGCTCATAGCAGAAAAATTACTTACCCTTTTTACTATGGCCCTTTGC